CTCGGGGTCTTGACCTTGTTAACATATGTCAAGGTCAAGGTCATTGGGGGGGGGGGCTCCCCTAATCTACATTTTTACCCATTTTAAATATATTTTCTACCTTTTTATCAAAATTAGGGTAAAAACTTTTAATTCAAATTTTAAAATTAACGCATATTTTGTTCCATATGTTGCAGCATTGTCATATGTATTGCGCTGAAATACTAAAAAAGCTGTATTCAACTATATTTACCGGTACTCTTTTGACTACAGTCCTCTGATTCAAAGTAATTTGCTGCATCATTTTCTTTATCACATTCTGCTAATTGCTGATTATATTATCAGTCCGTCCTAGATTGTAGATATTAGCGTGGTATATTATTTCTTCTCTGTAATTAAAAATATACAGATATTTTTACATTGTCTTACAACTATCTTGCTTTTAAGGAAACTTTTTATGCGGCTCACACTTATTTTTATTTCCTAATTACGCCATTTCAACAACATATATATATATTCTACTTTCTACTTACTTATTTCCAATAACACGATATATTGCTCTAATTTCCTGATCTTTTCCATTTATGACAAACAATCCATTTCGGATAAGGAGTTTTATATATTGTATGCTGTAGGTATCATTATCTGTGAAAAAGATATATATAGTGTTTCATCAAGACAAGATTTCTTGTCTTGAAGAGCATTTCTTGTCTTGTTTTGATTTTCGAGACAAGAATTTTCGTTCTTCTTGTCTTGATCATTTCTGACGTTGTATTTCTTGTCTTGAATTCAAGAATCTTGAATTTTTTGATTTTTTAAGTAGGGCCCAGTGGCTCTTTGGCTACGTTTACACCGTAGCTGCGCTTAGTCCGCGATCTATACGATAGGTGTCTTTGTTTAACTTATAGGATAAAGAAGGACATCTATTGAATAGGTCGCGACCTAAATGCACGGTATAATCGTAGCCACTGACATCTGTTGTATGGGCCATGGCCTAAATGCACGGTATAAACCAAGAAGACTAGAACTAGGGGAGTCAACTCGGTGTAAAAGTGGTAGTGGGGGTGAGGCAAAAAGTGGCGACGGATGACTTCCCCCACTCTTGTGCTTCATTAGTCCTCTCTGTCGCTCTATATAATCGTCGCTCTGTCGCTCTATAATCGTCGCTCTGTCGCTCTTGTATCGAACTTTCACACAATGCGCAGTGCTACTGCACATCGTGTGAATAGCCGCGGACGTTTTTTGACTCACCCCCACCACGGGAGTTGACTCTCCTGGTTCTAGTCTTGGTGTAAACTTAGCCACTGACATCTATTGTATGGGTCGCGGCTTAAGGGCTGCCGCACACACCTTCCGTAACAATAACCATAAGACGTACCGTAAGAATCAGCCAATCAGAATTACGAGTTCAAAGGAATTCTCGACTGTGATTAGCTAATTCTTACGGTACGTCTTATGGTTATTGTTACGGAAGGTGTGTGCGGCAGCCTTAAATGCAGGGTGTAAACATAGCCTTTCACTACGTCGTGTGGTCGCGTCGTAAGCGTTCTGCCCAAGGATGCCAATTCGAGGACGGTTTACGACATCGCGATCAACGCCATCAGTCGGCGGTCTAGCGCGACCAGTAGCTACACATCTAAGCATGAGTCGTATAAGTGTCACATAAATTTTTTATTTTTAAAAGAAGAGGATCGCGATCAAAGAAATTACTGGATGATAGAGCTTACGCAGTATTATGCAATTCCTCGAGTTGACGAAAACATCGACATTTTGGATTGGTGGTCAATTCAAAAATCTTTCCCAAACCTCTCAAGGATGGGTAAAGTTTTTTTGCCACATTGACAACATCGGTTCCAGCGGAGAGACTGAATTCGAAAGCTTCTCTGATAATAAGAAAACATAGGAATAAATTGAATGCCGAATCGGCTCGTAGTTTACTATGTTTAAATTCATGGTTTAAAAGTGTGCCTATAATGTCCATTATGCACAAATCTATTAATAAAGATTAAAAATATTTCTCAAATTGTCATTTTTAATATCATGATGTTACAGTCAAATGTTTCAGATTATTAGATTCCTGAGATTATTAGATATAATAATAACTATTATTATATTTATTATTATTATAATTACTATATATTATAATAAATACAATTGGAAATGTTGAAACCTAACTTATGCAAAACTTTTCGAATCAGAAATAAAATATTAAAACATTAAAATAATAAAATATTAAAAATAAAAACGGTTACTGAAATTCAAGAAATTTCTTGATTTCTTGTCAAGAAATTTTGATCTTGACAACAATTTCTTGTCTTGTCTTGAAATCAATTTTCATTTTCTTGTCTTGGTCTTGTCTTGATTCAAGACAAGATCAAGACAAGATGTTTTGAATTTCTTGATCTTGATGAAACACTAGATATATATAGAGAAATTACATAATTTTCTTTTATGTATCCTTTAAAATATAAAAGAAAATGTGTTTCACAAGCTGGAATACAAGAATTAATTGTATACAAATGATATAGGTCATTCTAGAACAAATGCTCGAAGATCTTTTTATGCACAAGTACAGTTAACGCCACATACAAAATCCAGTAAATACAATTATTGTAATATATTTTCAAATTGTATAAAATGAATCTTAAGACGTATGTTTCTTACATTGCATTGTTTTCCTAAAATAAAATGCTCATCAACATTTTTTTTCTATTTTTGCGCTGGAATAACCTCAAAAACTAAGATCAGACGTATATTATGTACTTACTCTTTAATTTTTCATATAAATCAAGTTCAGTCGAATCAAGGGTTAGTTTCGGTATGTCATTATTGACTTTAAAATTAATGCTGAATACTTCCATAACGAATAGATATTTAATAAAATATAGCGGCAAAATGTGCACTGTAACCGTACCGAGATCGACATACATGTTTAACTGGCAATGCACGAAACTTGCATTTTCGATAACCTCGTACAGTGCTGCTGACACTGTACGAGGTTTTGGAGCGCATTCAATGCGGCCCAGTGAAAAACGCTATTAGGCTCGGGCACTGATAGGTTTCTTGCTCAGCAGTGGCCGTCGCTACCACAGGATGCCGAAAGCATGCACCGTCTCCGAAATCCTTAAGTGCGTTCCGAGTTGCGCATAAACCGCATGGACTGCATTTGCGCGGCGCTTTGAAATCGTTCCGTTTTATCAGAGCGCTTTATTTATTATAAAGCGCTTTAGCGATTTGGAAAGATTTCCTGCGCAGTCTGCTCATTAAAGATGTATGAGCGTCATTTTTACAAATGTATTAATATTTATCATAGAATTGGAAAGAGTAAGGGTACTAGAAGTCGGGCGCAGAAGACGTCGCGCAAATAATACACTTATAAAGAATGAAACTTCTTTATTCACTAAAGGCGCTTACATGTTTCGACTCATTTCTTAGCCTTTCTCAGAGCAAACACACACTAACATATACAAAGTAAAAGTTATCCTATCATGGTGAGCTCCCCTACATTGAGAATTTAAATACCAGAATTAAATAAAAAGAAAGAAAAGAAAATGAAAAAGAAGGAAAATATAAAAAATGTCAAATAAAAGAATATAGAAACTAATTCATCGAAAAACTAACCGAAAATAGGGACGCTCACCACAATTATAAAGTACCGCATCGCAAACAATACCATGAATAGTTCAAGAACCGGTTCCTGATACGTTGACCAGTCGGAATCAGACACAGTGAGTCACTTTTTAGTTATTAGCTAGTACTAATGAAAATTGTAAAATGATAAAAAAATTTCGTCAGAAGGACTTATTACTGTGTACG